GTCTAAACAATCAACTTATATAATACTGCTGACAACTGAAGGTATTAATATCGCTGTAATGTAGATGTCTAAACAATCAACTTTATATAATACTGCTAACAACTAAAGGTGATGATATCGCTGTAATGTAGATGTCTAAACAATCAACTTATATAATACTGCTGACAACTGAAGGTATTAATATCGCTGTAATGTAGATGTCTAAACAATCAACTTATATAATACTGCTAACAACTGAAGGTATTAATATCGCTGTAATGTAGATGTCTAAACAATCAACTTTATATAATACTGCTAACAACTGAAGGTATTAATATCGCTGTAATGTAGATGTCTAAACAATCAACTTTATATAATACTGCTAACAACTAAATGTATTAATATCGCAGGCCCGGCATGGCCAGGTGGTTAGGGCACTCGACTCGCAATCTGAGGGTCGCGGGTTCGGATCCCCGTCCCACCAAACATGCTCGCCCTTTCAGCCGTGGGGGCGTTATAATCCTACTATTCGTTGGTAAAAGAGTAGCCCAAGAGTTGGCGGTGGGTGGCGATGACTAGCTGCCTTCCCTCTAGTCTTACACTGCTAAATTAGGGACGGATAGCCCTCGTGTAGCTTTGCGCGAAATTCAAAACAAACAAACGCCGACACCAGTTGAAGCTATGGAGCCAATAGGCTTAAAAGTCGTCAAAAAAGACTATTTCTACAGACTACTGAAATAATTAACAGGGATGTCAAAAAATATCTACAGGCAAGCACGATTTTAAGACAAACATTAACTCAGTGAACTGTTGATATTTGTTGTTTATGACCTGTTCCATTATGTAAAAAAAAAAAGTACTTTGTGAATACTCCTTATTAGGGTCGAAAGTTTGTAAAATGGAAAATAAACGCGGAAAATAGTTACTGAACTATTTATGTTCACATTGGAAATTTTCCAGTATACTTGGCTAAAAAAAAATACATTATGTTTTCCACACTAAAAAATGCTGTATAGAAGCTATAGGCACTACATATCACTAAACGTACAATGTTCGAGACAGTGACGACATATTTTCCTTCTAGAGAGAAATGCTTTTAGTTGACAAACGTTTCGGTATCGCTATCACACCTTTATCAAAAGTCAATATACTAATGTGACAGGTCTGTTTACTTTATATCTTTCATTCTTACAAGCATTTATAGTTAGACATCGAGTAGAATGCTGGGTGTTGGTGTAATGAAATGTCAGTAGGATGATGGTTGCTGATGTATTGAAATATCAGCATCAAACTGATTCTTGGTGGATTGAAATGTCAGCAAGAGAATGATTGGCTACGATTTAAAATGTCAGCAAAAGAATGATTGGCTACGATTTAAAATTTCAGCAAAAGAATGATTGGCTACGATTTAAAATGTCAGCAAATGGCTAATCGTTGATGGACGGAAATGTCAGCTGGTGGCTGATTGGTGGAAAATTCAAATGTCAGTAGGAAGTTGTTTGTTCATAAGTTCAAATATAAACAGGAATCTGACTGTTGATAAACTGAACTGTCAGACGAAGGCTGATCGTTGAAAGATTTAATAAAATTGAAAGTTTCATTGTTGACATTTCTTTACACCAATAACCAGCATCTTGCTAACGTTTCATTTCACCAACAACCAGCATCTTGCTGACATTTTGTTGTATTATTAAAAGGTCTTTTAACACAACAATGACTTAAAAATTATGCACAATATTTTATAAAGGTGTACCCTTTCTTGAAAGAAAAAATAATCCGTTAAATTCAAATGAAATTTGAGAATTTTTTTCTGTGAAGTTAAGCCTTAAAACATTGTTCTACTTAACTGTTTATATTGATTTTACACAAATTGTTTGCTTGTTTGTTTTGAATTTCGCACAAAGCTACACGAAGGCTATCTGCGCTAGCCGTCCATAATTTAGCAATGTAAGACTAGAGGGAAGGCCGCTAGTCATCACCACCCACCGTCAACTTGTGGGGCTACTCTTTTACCAACGAATAGTGGGATTGACCGTCACACTATAACGCCCCCACGGCTGAAAGGGCGAGCATGTTTGGTGTGACGAGGATTCGAACCCGCGGCCCTCAGATTGCGAGTCAAGCGCCCTAACCATCTGGCCATGCCGGGGCCTTTTACACAAATGTACAATCCTTGTAAACAATTATTAGAAATATATAAATTAGGGATATTAATATCACCTTAAGATATAAATCATGGTCATGTAGAAGATAAAGGTCAAACGTTGCCTTTAAATCTTTCTGGAGTTTGATTGGCTACGTTTGTTTCGAATGTAGCTAAGAAAACTTGAAACATCTATTGATGAAACCTGTTCATTTTCCAGAAGACATCATGGACGGCGTTCTGATAATACTATTATAAAAAATGCAGATGTGGTTCTTAAACCGAGTTGACACTAGTGTACTGATATTTTCAACATTAATGACATATTCAGGAACACATGGTCTAAAGAGCCAGGTCAGAGAACCGAGATGCAGATATAGCTGTCCCTAATTTCGAGCTTTTGACGATCAGAGGGATGATAACCAGTCAACAGCATACGCATCCATAAAAACTTTCTATCACTTTGGGACAAACAAGAGGGTTGTCTGTCACTCTTATAACGCATCCACATCTGAAAATCTGGAGCGCGAACCAGCATCGCGGCGCGAGCCTAGGACTTTTCCATCTACAGTCAAATAAAAGCTAACCACTCCAGGGCCGAGATGACACCAGAACGCTAAAAATATATATTTCGCTTCCTATTTAATACTTGTTGATAAAATGATTTGTTATCATTGTTTCATTTCGCAAAATTAACATTGTTTGTTTAATTTTTATTCTAATATGTCTTACGGCTTTATTCTTTGAAGTAAAAACAACGTGTGGAAAGATGAACTATTCAACCGGTATTTTCTCTACTTCCAGGAAATAGCTTAAATGGCTGACACAACAAACCTTCTGGATGTTTGGCTGAACTGACAACCAGATATTCAATCACTAAATATAGAAATGAACATTATTTTGTTATAATGTAAATGGATTGCTCAACGTGAAACAAATCAAGTTCGTTGGAAAAAGGAACACGTCATGGCTTTTCATCGGTAGATAATACTAGTTTGTGGTTACCTAGAAACTGTTCATACTTGAAAACCATTAAATAATACAGGTATGTTGAAATAGGGAGATTATCTAGATATTTATTGTTCTTTAATACTAGTGTATTTGAAAAATTTATTAAGCTTGCTTATCAACAACTAGGACTAGCGTGTTGGAAGAGTGCAATATCTAAAAATAAACTTTATCTGTTTCTACAACAACTAGGACTAGCGTGTTGGAAGAGTGTCACTCTTCCAACACGCTAGTCCTAGTTGTTGAAAAATAAACTTTATCTGTTTCTACAATATCTGACAGAGCAAAACAGATAAAGCTTATTTTTCAACAACTAAAGTAACCTTTTACTTCTTTTGTACAAGAGAGCACTAAGTACCAAACGTTTAACAACCTCGCGTTAACTGCCTATCGGGGTTTCATCGACGTTAGTCGTTGCTCTCTACAGACAACATCGCTTTGGTTAAATCACCCATAGAGCTTTCATAATTATTCCCCCCGGTCGTCAAGATATCGCATGCGTGCCCTAAGGAAACCTAGCAACAGCAGGATAATAAGTTTGAGGACACTCATTCTAATTACATATCATGGTTGTACCAAGTATCTAATAACGTCCACGTGTCCAAAGGTCGTGTTCGTGTTAGTAAATATGTTCAGTACGGTGAGTTTTGCCTGTGAGAATAGTGACAGATGTAACGATAAAATATTAATAAATATCTTAGGTCATTCATGTTACACTCTAGATAAAACAGCGTAATTATAAATGTAAATGACAGTTTTTTCTGGGAATTTACTTCTGCATGCGAATGCCAGAGTGCGTAAGTGCTCACGAAAACGGAACTCTGCTACCTAAAATTAACATAGAATCCCTAAACGTCTATATGTGTGTATAAAATATATTTTAGTTATTCGTTCTTCATGTAAAAATTCAGGTTAGAAACCCTGAATTCTATTGAATTCTTGCTACACTCAGAACCTGGTCTAATCAATGCTTTTGTTTATTAAGGTTTTCCTTCATAGCTAACTGTTACGAGTTTGCACCGATAGATGGCATTAATGCATGAATACGTTATATTGCCATTAGTCAAAGATCCAGTGTGAAGGCGGAGCCTATGTAGAGTACTATCCCTTTCACATCGATAAGCTCTCACCTTTATTAATTTATAGAAAACTGACTCGTTCGTTTACTTTGTATTATATGATAATCATAATAATTTCTACCACTTAAACAAAGCTTGAAATAACAATCTTTTCTAATACAATGTATGATAAAACATTATTCTTCCGCCCCCCACCTCCAGTGTCTCAGCGGTAAGTCTGCAGGTTTATGACGCTAAAATTTGGGTTTCGATACCCGTGGTGGGCAGAGCACAGATAGTTTATTGTGTATCTCTGCGCTAAACAAAAACCAAACATTATTTTGTTATTATTCGAATACCAAATTCTTGTGTTTCAGTTATTTACATTAAGCGTTTATCTGTTTTAGTCTCTAATATATTCCTTCTTTATTCACAATTCTCTTAATTGGCTAAATTCTTTCATTTCATTTCTTTGCTACTGTTTTCACTGCTGTTATTTTTAACGTATCTACTTTCAGAATTGTCATCACTTGTTTTGTATTCACAATTGTACTAAATACTTTAATTTTTTTTTGCAGAACATCAAGACGTGTTTTCCCTATTTCCAAGCAGCCCTATTTTTATACGAATTACTCCTACTTGTATTTATAAAAAAAAGTCTCAGAGCTGGGCAACATCTTTTCTGTACACCATCGTATTGTTATTCATCTGAGGACCCACCATCACTTTTGCTAGATCGATGTTTTTCCACAGAGCGATGAGGTATTACAGACTCTGGATCTACTCTTGTAACCTGACCTTACTCCTCAGCGTCTTGATTTTCGTATCTCTTGCTGCCTGGATCTTTTCCGACCACCACATGGCCCTCTTTCCTTATATCCGTTTACACCAGCCCACCCTGGTTTATGCCTACTTTGCTCTTGTCTTGCAAGGTGGAGTTCTACAAGCTCTTGGTTGCTGGGGGGCAGTGCGAATGAATGAACGACTATTAAACGCTTACTTGCTGATCATTTTGGCCCTCTTCCTTGGTGACCTCGTAATGGGTGTTGTATGGACGTTTCATTATAGTCACATAACAGCCAACTTACGTTACGATCTAAAGGAAAGACTCCAGATGGATTATGGGAAAGAACTAACATTTCAGATCTTGTGGGATCGAATTCAGGAGGATGCTCACTGCTGTGGTGTCGATGGTCCAAGAGACTACAATCATACTCTTTGGCTGCATCAGCAACGACCAAAGTACCACCAGCTGGTTCCGCTAGGCTGTTGTCATTTTAGATTTGAAACCCGCATGTGGGAATATGCGTTTCCGAACCACTCGTGTGTCGAGAGTGAGGTTTACCAAGATGGTTGCTATGGTGAAGTCCAAAGATGGCTCCAGGGAAGTGTAGGTCTTCTATGTGTACTCGGCTTTTGTGTAATTACATTCCTGAAAGTTTGTTTTCTTGGAATTCTTCGGTACGAGATACGAGAAATGATCCAGAAGATCAGAATCATCCAAGAGCTCGAGGGATCTTCTCCTTTGCTTGGTATGAATTTCCAGTTGATCAGACCATCTATTCAAAGTGACGTCTTTTCAAAGAAAGGAAATTACATACTTTCAAAAGAGACACTGAAGAGCATACATGGAAATAACAACGAATACGAATGTTTAGACTTCAAACGAACTAGTGACGTTTAATTCTTAAAATACTTAACAAAGTTTTACTCTGATATTCATTTGCTTACTTCTTATTCTGAGTTCGTGAGCAGCTTTAAAACATCTTGAATATATTTGTGTTTTTATTCTTACAATAAAGCCAAAGTCAGTCAGAAGTATATCGTAGGACTTTGCTTCAGACTAACATAAATATATATATACTTCAATTTTACTGAAAATAGCTAATTAATGTAATGAGTGACACCACATATTGTCAGGTGTTGCATCTTTTGTTGACAAGAATAACTTATATGAGTTTCAAACTAAAATTTTAAAAGATTGTTTGCAATTAAGCACAAACTTACACAACGGGCTATCTGTGCTCTGCCCACCACGGGTATCGAAAACCGGATTCTAGCGTTGTAAGTCCGCAGACATACCGCTGTGTCACTGGGGGGGAGGCAATTTTAAAAGATGGTTGCTAGAAAAGGACAATTTGTTATTTTAATGGGAAGTATTAACACCGAAGTATCACTGTGTTATAGCATATATTTTTAAGATGTCATAGATGGCGCTAATAACAGCAAAATCAACATATATATATTTATACACACTCACACAAAACAGTTGTATTGTAAGTATTTAGATGATAGAACACAACTTTTCAAATACATCTATCAACATACAGAAAATACGTTTTCTGAAGCACAAGATAGTCAGGTATTGAAAACATTGCCAAGATTTCATCTTGTTTATTGAAACCAATGAATGATAATGGACGGGTATTACTACTGTACCCAAACTGTCATATTGGTGAGTTAACTATTACTGACATTTGTTGTTAGTGTTAGAATGTTACGATCACTGTTCTAGAAGGGTTGATAGGCCTAGAAGAAATTAACGTTATTTGATATCATTGTAAGTTGCCCCTTTGTGACTCAGCGGTAAGACTGGGAGCTTGTAATGCTCAAAATTCGGTTTCGATACTCGAGGTGGACAGAGTACGTTGTGTAGCTTTGTGCCTAACAAGAAAGAAACAAGTAGTGTAAGTTATTTCAATTTAAAATATGTTTAATATATGTGTATTTCCAAACTCTCCAGCTTTTCTTGAACACCAAAGTTTTGGAGAGGTTACAGATACTAAGATAGCAGCCAGCCCCTCCTCGTGGGGAAAATACATAACCCTTTTTAACTTGATCATCTAACAACCCAGAGTAGCGCCATATAAACTTAACACTTTCTTATTATTCAATTTGTTTGCTATTCTTTAACTCTTATCTTTCCAGCTTTGTCATTTCAGATAACCTTTTGGACACTGGTCTGGTAGATTTTTCGGCGTCCAATCAGTGTTGTGGGTTTTTCTGGAAGTTCTGTCCCCCCCCCCTTCAACGTCAAAATTCCCGGCATTGGGTCTTTAGATCCCATCCATATGTTTGTATACTTGTAGGGTTGGTATACTTGTAGTTCTTTTTGTCGTCGTCGTTGTCGTTCCTCTAAAGTCTGAACCAGTATACCGAGAGTGGAGCGAAGATTAATCGACTGATTCTCGAACACCCCGGGTTTTCATACTCAAATATCCACCACTATAATTTAGGGTTGTTTTAGTTCGTATTTTGTTTCTTTGCAACATATATATAGATATAAAACGAGAGAGAAAAAGAACAATTTAAAAATTCGACTACTATGAAAATTTCACATGTCACTATCGGAAAATGAGTCAACAACGATTGAACGAGGGTTAGAAACAGTACAGTCCTTAGAGAGTCTATATGTACGTACCACTTACACGTTCTTCGCTAGTTACACGAGAGTATTAACGTCACACGCTATACTCTAGTAGCCGCGGTAAATTAAGCAGCACAGCGAATGTTCTTCCCAAGAGCTGTCTTATTAATATATGAATATGGACTACTTCTTTAAATATTTATATGTAGCAAAGCTGCACTCAGTGACAGAAGAATATTCTCACTTATGAAACACATATTCATACTCTCCAAATAATCAATAATATGTAATTAGTACTTGAAACTGTCGGTACTTAGCGAAACTCCATAATTACATAATTGTTTGTTTGAAGTTAAGCACACTAAAAAATACAAATGGGCTATCTGTGCTCAGCCCACCACGGGTATCGAAACCCAGATTCTAACGTTATAAGTCCGCAGACATGCCGTTGTGCCACGTGGGGGGGGGGGTCAATTACAGAATTG